TTACACTTTTATACAATTCTTAGTATACCACAAGATAGCTATGCCTTATCTGTCATTTTTCAAGTTGACCTTTATTACAAAAAGCTGATAAAAATGAATATTGGGGAATGTTTCAAAATTTAACTTTGTAATCCAGACTTACTTCTCTTTTGCATAGTACAGAAACAATTTTTATTATGAGAGAAAATAAAGCATTGAGGTGTTTGGTTTTTTAAAAAAATTTTTTATTTTTATTTTTTATTTTTTGAGACAAAGTCTTGCTCTTGTCCCCCAGGCCGGAGTGTGATGGTGCAATCTTGAGTCACTGCAACCTCCGCCTCCCGGGTTCAAGCGATTCTCCTACCTCAGCCTCCCGAGTAGCTGGGATTACAGGCGCCTGCCACCACGTCTGGCTAATTTTTGTATTTTTAGTATAGAGACGGGGTTTCACCATGTTGGCCAGGCTGTTCTCAAACTCCTGACCTTATGTGATCCGCCCGCCTTGGCTTCCCAAAGTGCTGGGATTACAGGCGTAAGCCACCATGCCCGGCCAGTTTTTTGCCTTTTTAAGTAATGTAGTTTGTTGATACAAAATATATTGGGAATGTTGTGCAGCCATCACCACTATCCAGCTCCATAATTCTTTTCATCTTGTAAAACTAAAACTCTGCACCCATTAAACAATCCCCATTTCCCCCCTCCCCACAACCCCTGGCAACCACCATTCTACTTTTTGTCTTTATGATTTTGAGTATTCTGCCTGTATAAGTGGTATCATACAGTATTTGTCTTTTTGTGACTGGCTTATTTCACTTAACATAATGTCCTCAAGGTTCATCCATGTTGTAGCATATGTTGGAATTTCCTTCCTTTAAGGCTGAATGATATTCTATTTATATACCACATTTTGCTTACCTGTGTATCTGTTGATGGGCACTCAGGTTGCTTCTGTGTTTTAGTTATTGTGAATAATGCTGTTATGAACATGGATGTTCAGATACTGCTTTGAGACCCTGCTTTCAATTATCTAGTTATTTGTTTGCTTGTTGAGACGGAAGATAAAACCATGAGCTTTGTGGGTGTTGTTTTATATATCAGTCAATCAGATGAAAAGAATTAATCATAAGAAAAGTTTGAGGCTGAGTGCAGTGGCTCACACCTGTAATCCCAGCACTTTGGGAGGCCAAGGCAGGTGGATCACCTGAGGTCAGGAGTTTGAGACCAGCCCGGCCAACATAGTGAAACCCCGTCTCTACTAAAAATACAAAAATTAGCTGGGTGTGGTGACGCACGTCTGTAATCCCAGCTACTCAGGAGACTGAGGCAGGAGAATTGCTTGAACTTGGGAGGCGGAGGTTGCAGTGAGCTGAGATCGTGCCACTGTACTCCAGCCTGGGCAACAGAGTGAGACTCCATCTCAAAAAAAAAGAAAAGTTTGATGGGCCAGCTTGATTGTCTAAATTTTAAAAGGCAGATTCTAAAATGAGTAATCCTAGAACTTAGCTATGGTAACATACGGTGCTATGTACATTTTATCTTTATAGCCAAATGGCCACATAGAATTTTTATATTATTTATTTTTTATTGAGGTAAAATGTACATATATAATACAGAATATACACATCTTTACTCTTTTTTTTTTTCCCCTTTTTTCTTTTTTTTTGAGACAGAGTCTCACTCTGTCGCCCAGGCTGGAGTGCAGTGGTGTTATCTTGGCTCACTGCAATCTCCGCCTCCTGGGTTTCAGTGTTTCTCCTGCCTCAGCCTCCCGAGTAGCTGGGATTACAGGTGCCCGCCACCACGCCTCGCTAATTATTTGTATTTTTAGTAGATACAGGGTTTTGCCGTGTTGGCCAGGCTGGTCTCGAACTCCTGACGTGAGGTGATCTGCCCATCTCTGCCTCCCAAATTGCTGGGAGTACAGGCATGAGCCACCGTGCCCAGCCATCTTTACCGTTTTTAAGTATACAGTTCAGTAGTAATAAATACATTTATATTCTTTTTTTCCTCCCTTCAGTTCCCTCCACCCACTTCCTGGCCTTTGGTAATCACCAGTTTATTTATCTTTATGAGATCCACCTTTTTAGCTCTGACATATGAGTGAGAACATGCAATAGTTGTCTTTCTGTGCTTGGTTTATTTCACTTAACATAATGGCTTCCTGTTCCATCCATATTGCTGCAGATGACAGGATTTCATTTATTTTTGTGGCTGAATAATATTCCATAGTGTGTATATGCCACATTTTCTTTATCCATTCATTTATTGATGGGCACTTAGGTTGACTTCATGTTTTGGCCATTGTGAATAGTGCTGCAATAAACATAGGAGTACAACTATCTCCAATGTATTGATTTCCTTTGTTTTGGATATAAACACCCAGTAGTGATATTGCTAGATACTATGGTAATTTCCATATTTTTAGTTTTTTGAGGACTGTCTATAATGTTCTACAAAGCGGCCTTACTAAATTGCATTCCCACCAATAGTGTATGAGTGTCCCTTTTCTCTACATCCCTGCCAGCATCTGTTACTGCCTTTTTTTTTTTTTAAACGGAGTCTTCCTCTATCGCCCAGGCAGCCTTCACCTCCCGTGTTCAAGTGATTCTTAGCCTCTGCCACCCAAGTACCTGGGATTACATGCATCACCATGCCCAGCTAATTTTTATAAATTCCAAAGTCCTGGGATTTACAGGCGTGAGCCACCTTGCCCAGCCTTGCCTGTCTTTTTGATACAAGCCATTTTGACTGGGGTGAGATGGTATCTCATTGTGGTTTTGATTTATATTTCTGTGATTATAGTGTTTAACATTTTTTTCATATAGCTTTTGGCCATTTGTACGTCTTTTGAGAAATGTCAGTTCAGATGTTTTGCCCATTTGTAAATGAGATTATTTGGTTTTCTGCTATCGAGTTTGAGCTCTTTATATATTCTGGTTATTAGTCCTTTTTTAGATAGACAGTTTGTAGACACTTTCTTCTGTTCTTTAGTTTATCTCTTCACTTTGTTGGTTGTTTCCTTTGCTATACAGAGCTTTTTAGCTTGATACAATACCCATTATCTCTCTTTGCCTGTGCCTTTGTGGTCTTACACAAAAAACCTTTACCTAGACCAATGTCCTTTTTTCACTTCTTTGGGTAGACTGATTCCTAGGTGTTTTACTTTTTTTTTTTTAAGCTATTGTAAATGGAATTGCTTTCTTGGTTTGTTTTTCAGATTGCTTACTGTTGGTGTATATAAATGGCTACTGATTTTAATTTTAGTTTTTAAGAAGAGATGGTGTCTCACTCTATTGACCAGGCTGGTCTCAAACTCCTAGCCCGCGCAATCTTCCCACTTTGCCGTTCGAAAGTGCTGGGATTACAGGCATGAGCCACCATGCCCAGCCCTGATTTTTTAATGTTGATTTTGCATCCTGCAACTTTACTGAATTCATTTATCAGTTCCAGCAGTTTTTTTTTTTGGTGGGATCTTTAGGTTTTTCTAGGTATAAGATCATGTTATCTGCAAATAATGTTAATTTGACTTCTTTCCTTCCACTTTGGATACCCTTTGTTCTTTCTTCTTTCTTCTTCCTCTTCTTTTTTTTTTTTTTGGCCTAATTGCTGTGGTTTTTGTATTATTTTATTAAGAATTTAAAACCTAACCGAAGAGTCATTCTTCTCCAACCATCTCAAAACCTTTCAAGTGTTTTGTTTTGTTTTGTTTTGTTTTGTTGTTGTTGTAGTTTTTGAGACAGTCTTGCTCCGTTGCCTGGGCTGGAGTGCAGTGGTGCAACCTTGGCTCACTGCAGTCTCTGCCTCCTGGGTTCAAGCGATTTTTCTGCCTCAGCCTCCCCAAGTAGCTGGGATTACAGGCGCCCACCACCATGCCTGGCTAATTTTTGTATTTTTAGTAGAGATGGGGTTTCACCAGGTTGGCCAGTCTGGTCTCAAACTCCTGACCTCAAGTGATCCACCCACCTCGGTCTCCCAAAGTGCTGGGGATTACAGGCATGAGCCACCACACCCGGCCTAAAACCTTCCAAGTCTTAACTGCAATTACTTAACTAGTTCTGATCAAGACCAACAAAATTAAGGACAGTAAGTAAAAGGTTGTAAGTTACAGTTAGCTTTCAAATTTCATAATATACACATTCTCTTAGTATACAGTAAAGGAGAATCATTTTTTGTAGGACCTTGTACTGTCTTAGTAGGTGGCATTCTGTTGTCTTCTGTCACAGGGCTTAAATAATTGTCAGAATAATATTTAAAGTTAGAACTTTTAAACTCTCTTAAAAATTTATTTTCCTTTCCTGTTCAACTCATTGGAATAAGAAAAGAGATTTGATTTAGTGATCTATACACTTAAGGATTTAAATTCATGTTATTTATCTCCCAATATTACTTATCTTCATGCCGTAGGAAGTGATATATACCAGTAACTCACATTTTTTCAATTATTCATATAATTCACATCAAAATTCCTATTTTTGAGTCAGTAAATACTGTTTTCAATCTTAATTTCTTGGATTTACTTATTAGTTTAGGTAAGTAAAAACTTAATGGAAGTGTTAAAAATGTATTATAGATTTCTGAAACATGGCAATTTGTTTACTGAGATCAAAACTTTAGATGGAGAGATTATTTCTTAAAAATAAAATAAAGTTAATGCTTGTAGCCTTTTTACATAACTTGAATTGCAAAAGATTTTCATGTCTCTTTAAAAATTATTAGGCTTTTGCCAAGTTAGAAATGAAATATAGTGCCTGTAGTCCTAGCTACTAGGGAGGCTGAGGTGGGAGGATTGCTTGAGCCCATGAGTTAGAGGCTGCAGTGAGCTATGATTGTGCCACTGCACTCCAGCCTGGGCAACAGAGCGAGACCCTGTCTCAAGAAAACAAAGAGGTATATACGTATTTACATGTGTGCTAATTTTTAGAAACTGAACAGATTTGATTTCTTGCTACTATTTTAGCTTCTTTTGATAATGAGAATGTTTGGAATTAATCACTGTTGGGGGAAATACACATATTTCACAGAACTAGAAGAACAGACTCGAAAAGCTCTAGAACTGGATCAAGAACGAAAACGAGCAAAAGAAGAAGCAGAACGGCTTGAAAAAGAGCGTCGAGCTGCTGAAGAGGCGAAGTCTGCCATAGCAAAACAAGCTGCCGACCAGATGAAGAATCAGGAGCAGCTAGTAAGGAACTGTCTTCTTAGAGAAAAAAGTTTAAATAAAAGCATAGAGTGAACCCTCTAAAAAGAAAAAACAAAAAGCAACCATTTTGTGCTTTCTGGAAAGCAAGCCAAAGATAACATGTAACTTAGTAACAAAGTGTGGACAAAAACCTAAAACTTTTATTTCTGCCTAAACAAAAACCTAAAAATACAAAAGAATAAGTTTTTTTTTTTTTTTTTTTTTTTTTTTTTGAGACGGAGTCTCGCTCTGTCACCCAGGCTGGAGTGCAGTGGCCAGATCTCAGCTCACTGCAAGCTCTGCCTCCCAGGTTCACGCCATTCTCCTGCCTCAGCCTCCCGAGTGGCTGGGACTACAGGCGCCCGCCACCTCGCCCGGCTAGGTTTTTTTTTTTTTTTTTTTTGGTATTTTTTAGTAGAGACGGGGTTTCACCGTGTTAGCCAGGATGGTCTTGATCTCCTGACCTCGTGATCCGCCCATCTGGGCCTCCCAAAGTGCTGGGATTACAGGCTTGAGCCACCGCGCCCGGCCTATATTTTTCTATAGATTATTTGTAAATGGAGTCTCTTGTCAGCAAAAGGTTCTGATTCACTTTGACATTGGACAGGTTCCACAATAAGTCAGTTGGCATCTTTTGCTTTAGATAAATTAATATGTTATAGTTCCTATGAGATAACTATAGGCCATAATTGGTTGGAGTTTTTTGTTTATTTAGTGGACTTGCAAATAACGAGGTATAAGCATGTTACTTAAAAGATCCTGGATTTAAATATTAGTTCACACATGCTACTTGCTATGTATGTGTCTTTGGCTGTTTCTGAGCCTCAGTTCCTTCCCTTTGAAAAGAGGAATGATGGCTGGGCACAGTGGCTCACGACTGTAATCTCAGCATTTTGGGAGGCCGAGGCAAGCAGATCACCTGAGGTCAGGAGTTCAAGACCACCCTGACCAACATGGCAAAACCCTGTCTCTACTAAAAATACAAAATTAGCCAGGCATAGTGGTGCACACCTGTAATCCTAGCTACTTTGGGAGGCTGAGGCAGGAGTATTGCCTGAACCCGGCAGGCGGAGTTTGCGGTGAGCTGAGATCGTGCCACTGAGCTCCAGCCTGGGCGACAGAGCGACACTCCGTCTGAAAAAAAAAAAAAAGGAAAAAAGGAATGATACTACCTGTTAGGATTATTGGGGAATTACATGAGATGATTTGACAAAGTGCCATTTAAAGTATATAGCATTACATAAATATATTTTCTCTTTTGTAGACTTTAACAAATAGTTTATTGATGAAAGTTTTCTTTAAAAACCTTTTAAGTTACACATTTTAAGTTCCTGCTACTGAAAGCAGGATTAACTGCTTGTCTGTAGAATAATAGTAATCTTTTAATTTTGTCTCCTCCTTAGCTCATTACTTCAAGGACTTATCGTAAATAAGCTATTTAAGATCTTAAGAAATACTATATTTTTTTAAATGGAAGACTATCTAAGAAAAACATAAACAGCCTAAGCATGTACATTAAAGCTTTGTTGACTTATAAGATTATTCAAAATATGTTAATCTTGGAATTATATTGTTTACTTTAGGCAGCAGAACTTGCTGAATTCACTGCCAAGATTGCACTTCTAGAAGAAGCCAAGAAGAAAAAGGAAGAGGAAGCTACTGAATGGCAACACAAAGTAATCATTTGTTCATTTACTAGCTTTTATTGAATAGCTTTTGTACCCAGGATTATGCTGACTTTATAGAGATGAATATAAGTTACTGTCATAATTTAGAGTGGGAAAAATACTTGTGTATGTGTATTGTAAATATTTATCTACGGATATAAACCAAGTACTTTGGGAACACAGAAGAGGTGATTAATTTCTGTGGGGTCCAGAGAGTTGTTGGGAGACCCATATACATTTAAGCTGGGTCTTGAATAATGAATTAAATTTTGGGGGTACGAAAGATTGGGACGTAAGATTGGGAATAGTTAGAGACTGAAGAGGTGGTCATTCCCGACAGAGGGAACTGAATGACTATAGGAAGTATGAATGTATGTAATAGATTTGAGGATAACCAATAAGCAGCCGAAGCTTTCGTGTTGTTCAGAAATGTTGGAAGATGGGGCCCTCAAGTTAGATAATAGGGAATTGTGAAGGGCTTTAAATAAATGCTCTGCTACAGCAAGGCAGTGGGAGTATCGATTGACTTGGGGCTTAGAAGATTTCAAAACAGGATTGTAACATGATCAGATATGATTTTCTAAAAACCATGTAGTGATCAGTGTGAAGAAAGGATTGGGATAGTGGATACTTAAGAGATAAAGACCCAAACTGAGGATGTGGAAATGAGAATAAAGAGGAATGGGAAGAGATAAGAGACATTTTGTGGTAGACACAAAAGGGCGTGGCAACCAGTGATTGGATATGAAGTTGAATTATTTTTATTTATTTTTTATTTTTTTATTTTTTATTTTTTGAGACGGAGTCTTTGCTCTGTCACCCAGGCTGGGGTGCAGTGGCGCGAACTCGGCTCACTACAAGCTCCGCCTCCTGGGTTTACGCCATTCTCCAGCCTCAGCCTCCCGAGTAGCTGGGACTACAGGCGCCCGCCACCTCGCCCGGCTAGTTTTTTTTGTACTTTTAGTAGAGACGGGGTTTCACCGTGTTAGCCAGGATGGTCTTGATCTCCTGACCTTGTGATCCGCCCGTCTCGGCCTCCCAAAGTGCTGGGATTTATTTTTATTTTTTTAGAGACATGGTCTTACTCTGTGTCCCAGGCTGGAGTGCAGTGGCACAATCATAATTCATTGCAGCCTTGAACTCCTGGGCTCAAGGGCTCCTCCCCTCTCAGCCTCTGCAGTAGCTGAGACTACAGGCATGCGCCATCATTTTTATTTTTGTTGAGAATGGAGGTCTTGCGATGTAGCCCAGGTTGGTCTCGAACTGCTGGCCTCAAGCAGCCCTCCCCTCTCAGCCCCCAAAGTGCTGGGATTATAGGTGTAAGCCACTGTGTGCAGGTGATACTGAGATTTCTAATATGAGTCCTAAGTACATGAAACCACTATTGTCTAAAGTAGCACACAATTGTAAAATCAGGCTTTGATTGGAGGGATGGGGGACTATAAGATAATGAGAGTTTAATTCAAATGACAGTAACTCTTAAATGAAAAGATAATTTTTTTACACCCAAAGATATTTAGTTTTAGAAGATGATTTTTCTACAATAAAATGTACTTATACAGAAAACAGTTTTCTTTTTTTTTTTTTTTTGAGACGGAGTCTCGCTCTGTCACCCAGGCTGGAGTGCAGTGGCCGGATCTCAGCTCACTGCAAGCTCCGCCTCCCGGGTTCACGCCATTCTCCTGCCTCAGCCTCCCGAGTAGCTGGGACTACAGGCGCCCGCCACCTCGCCCGGCTAGTTTTTTGTATTTTTTAGTAGAGACGGGGTTTCACCGTGTTAACCAGGATGGTCTCGATCTCCCGACCTCGTGATCCGCCCGTCTCGGCCTCCCAAAGTGCTGGGATTACAGGCTTGAGCCACCGCGCCCGGCCAGTTTTCTTTTACTCTTAAGTAAATCTTAAGGTTTCTTTTACTCTTAAGTAAATTTTAAGTAAGTAGCAGTTTAAATTTCATTGGGAAGTTTTAGATGTATTGAAAATTAGTTGTATATAAATAAAACTACAAAAGGAATTCCACTGTTAATTTCCCAGTTACTCTACTTTGTTATTAGAATTTTTTAGATCCCTTTTAGGGATGATTTGTGAAATTTAGAGACACGTAAACTTTAAAAAAATCAGCGTATTACAGATATCAAGTCTGTGAATTATAGAAAATTAGAAAATGCACACAAAAGACAATTGTATTCCCATAAAGTAGGGGCAGTACTGCAAAACCTTAGTACATATCCTTCCAGGATACTTCCTGTTTATATATTCAACGTGAAATCTTACTGTATGTACTATTTCATTTTAGTGTATTTTCATCTCATAGAATATTAGGCTATATTCAGAATTTCCCAAAAAGTCTCATAGCTAATTTGCCAGACAAGTGTTCAGAGGACTTTGCATTGTCTCTATTTGCTGTAAGTCTCTTTTAATGGAGGGCAGTTTCTCTTTGTATTATTTTGATTTATTGAAGGGACCTACAGAATGTCCCAGCTCCTATATTTGTTTAGTTCTTTCCTTGTGTCATTGACCTTATCGTTTAACTCCAGTATTTCCTGTGAACCAGAAGTTAGATCTAGAACCTGGGGAATTCAAATTAAAAGTTTTTGACTACAGTGCATCAGAGGTGAGAATTCCATATAATTTAACATCTAAACTGGAGCACTTGAGAAAAAGGGGATATTGTTCATAATTATACCAGGACAACAGTGTAACAGGACTTTTCCAGGTAAACCAAGATAATATGATCACCCAAATAATTGGTGATGTTAGATATTTCAGATTGTATCATATCAGAAGACAGTATCTATAGTTAACTCACCATTAGTATTTGTTAGTGATCATTGGATTTGAGTAACGACAGTCTCATTCCTCTATTTTTCGGTTACATTTTCCGCTTGTGGCTCAAATAAAATCTATTTGGCATAGGATTCTTCGGCATTATACGAATATCCATTTCTCATCAGCTATTTGCACAACAATTTTAGCAAACAGTTGATAATCCTTGCCAGAATTAGTACTTATTTTTTTTGCATGTATGCTTGTTTTTCTTTTAACCTGTCACTGACTTGAAGCTTGCAGAATTAGTAATTCTAATGGGATTTGCATAATCTTTTGATTTTGTCCTTTACCTGTTGGCATTCTTTTATGAAAATAGAGCTTTCATAAATAGGGCTTATTTCATTACCTTGAAATATAGTTTCTGTTAAAAAAGCAGTATAACTTGATTGTTTTAATTACTAATTTTTGAACTAAGTTGCTCATAAACGTATTTTTAATGTTCAGGCTTTTGCAGCCCAGGAAGACTTGGAAAAGACCAAAGAAGAGTTAAAAACTGTGATGTCTGCCCCCCCTCCACCTCCACCACCACCAGTCATTCCTCCAACAGAAAACGAACATGATGAACATGATGAGAATAATGCTGAGGCTAGTGCTGAATTATCAAATGAAGGGGTAATGAACCATAGAAGCGAGGAAGAACGTGTAACAGAAACACAGAAAAATGAGCGTGTTAAGAAGCAACTTCAGGTATTTAAAATTTGCAGTTGTATGCACATTTGAAATATAGTTTGCATTTTCCCCATCTTAGACAAACTTAGTTAAAAAGAACATAGAAGTTTTAATACTGACTGGCCTTGTGATTGGTTTGTGGGTATTTGGCCTATAGTCGTTATTTCATTTCTTCCGTTGTGTGAACCCATTAGCAAATACCTGTTAGCTTTGAATAAACAGACCTTAGTGAGTTATTTAATTACAACTTGACCCATTTTAAAAGGTATAAAGTATTCTAATGTCGTGTTGAAAAACAAATGAATTTAGTTTTTAATCAGTAATATGTACATTGAGGGCCAGGCACAGTGGCTGGGATTACACCTGTAATCCCACACTCTGGGAGGCCGAGGCAGGTGGATCGCTTGAGGCCAGGAGTTCAAGACCAGGCTGGCCAACATGGTGAAACTCTGCCTCTACCAAAAATACAAAAATTAGCTGGGTATGGTGGTATGAGCCTGTAATCCCAGCTACTTGGGAGGCTGAGGCATGAGAATTGCTTGAACCTGGGAGGTGGAGGTTGCAGTGAGCCGAGATCATGACACTGCGCTCCAGCCTGGATGATAGAAGTGACTCTGTCTCAAAAAAATAAAATGAAATGAAATGTACATTGGAAAGAATGATAGTTAATATACTATGTTTAAGACATTGCATAATCTTAATTATTTGTTCATATTTTATATTGGCAAAAGGTCAGTATATCACATGGACATAACTAGGTCAAAGTAGAGGATTTTAATATTATGAGAGCTTTCTTTTTTCCCAGTAAGTTATCTAATATTTTAATTGTTGAAATCTTTAAATATTAAAATAAGGTGATAGTTAGAATAAATATATTAAGACTTTTGGAGAACGCTTCCCTTGAGGTATAGATTTTAAATCTCACAGTAATATTAGTCTATAGTGGCTGCATTGAACTTTTTAGCCATTTCAAATATTAGATGAGGAAGTTAAGGACATTTAGAATAATGTACAAAATACCATGGTTGATAAATGTGGAAATGAAAGGCCATGTGTATTCTTCCCTTACCACTGCCACCACGATTACCAAAGCAAACTTACACACTAAAGAAAAAGGTTTCACAGTGGAAATGATTTGGTATATGTATTTATGCATCTTAAAGCCATTTTCATAAATTTTTTTAAATCTCAGAAAATAATTGTTGTACTTTTAATTTTTTAAATATAGGCATTAAGTTCAGAATTAGCCCAAGCCAGAGATGAAACCAAGAAAACACAAAATGATGTTCTTCATGCTGAGAATGTTAAAGCAGGCCGTGATAAGTACAAGACTCTGCGACAGATTCGACAAGGCAATACAAAGCAGCGTATCGATGAGTTTGAAGCAATGTGAGAGCTGTTATTTTGCATATATGTTCTTCATAAGCTGAACCACCAACAGAGAAAAGCAGGCCTTTGCAGATATGATGGAATGCATCCCACCTTGCCAAAGCACTTACACCGGTTTGACTGTGCTAGCTAAAAGACAGATTTAAGGGGAGCTCTTCAGCATTAAGGCAGTATGATATCATGCTTGGTTTTCTTTTTCTTTTGGTCCAGGGAATGGAGAATGGTGTTCCATTGCCTCCTTTCACATTTTTTTTCTTTTTTTTTTTTTTTTCTGTTGAAGATTAACACTAATTATCATGTCTGACAAATGTGTATGTGTGGTTTCAGTTCTGTGTACATTTTAAAGGATAATGTTGATGAACATTTTATGGGTTTCCCTTGTCCCTTCCATATTTAACCTGTGTGTATTTCCACATTCTCTCTCACATTTTCTCAGTGTGCCCGTCTCTTATCTGCCATGTCCATAGCCATAATCCCACCATCATACAGATCAGGCAGTGTTTAAAATGATGGTAGGTAGCACAGTGGACAGTCTTTGATCATTATGTAGAATAAGGCTATGAATCATGAAAGAGATTAGAACATTTAATAATGTATGTACAGCTGGTGGTTAGTTTTTTTAAATCCAAATTTAATTGCCTTATTGGATATTTGATATTTGGTTATTTAATCACAGTCATCTTGAACAGCTTACATTGATTGGCGTTTTATCTCCTCTAATCCTTTGATGGCTTTTTCTGCCTACCATTTCACAGAGGTTTAGACAGCAGTAGTAGCTCCCTAGGAGAGTTTACTGATGAAACAGCCTCTGCAAGATTTTTAAAGTTTTGTTCTTTTATAGACTGATTTAGAAAAACAGATGATTAGTAAAAAAAGAAAATATACATTTGTTGGTAACTGATTTTAATTATTTTTTAAAACCTGGACCTTTCTGGAAGGGCAGCATATAAAAACATCAGTCCCGAGGAGGGGACAACAATACTACCTCACTGCTACACCTGCGATGACTGGTTCAAACACAATGGAGTGTGTAAGCTATATGTTTTATAATTCATGATGATAACCTTGATCATCAAGAAATACTTTTGAAATTTCATTTTCCCTTAGAATATCTTAGAGTGCTAAATTTTTAACTGCCTTTTTGTAGAGTCAAACTGTGGGATTCTGATTTATATTAAAATTGTAAGCTCCTCACTGGTATACTATCATCCTGGAGGGCTGTGGTATGGCTAAGAGAGAGGGGGAATGAGAGAGAGAGACTCTCTGTGTGTGTGTGTGTGTGTGTGTGTGTGTACTCTTGTGTGTATGAGAGAGAGATGCTAACCTTGTAACATGAAGAATGTCTGTACCTTGATATGATAGGTACATAATCATTATATATGGCTTCTAGATCACTGTGCTTATTTTTTTTCAATCTCTGACTAAAAATACTTAAATTTTGTTTGTTAATTCTATTTTAGAAATTATAATTTTAGTTTATATTAATTTCAGTTATATCTTACTGAAGAAATCTTTCCAGTCAGAAGGAGGTTCTAATATTCACATGTTCTAATACTTTGTTTATTGTAAAACAGCTAAATTTGGAGATACGTAAAGCCTTGTTTTCTCTGTGTGGTTCAGCTGCTTTCCATTTGGTATTACACAGTCAAATTTACATTTATTAAAATTGCCATTTTATTAAACATTTTCATGCACAGTAGATTCAAGTTGTGTCTGAAAATATCTCTTGTGTTTTTTTGATTTTGCTGACTTTAAAAGGATTAATCTGGGCAGACATTATGAAAAAGAAAGGTTGCGTTTAATATATTTTTTGAACTTTGTAGGACAAAACATAGCTGGTTAACCTTGAAGTGACTGTTGTACCATGGTTGTGCACGTGCTTCAGAATCCTATGGAAGACAGTGTTCCTACTTGCAGTACATCAAAGGAATGGATGGTGGACCCTACTGTTCATGTTTTGAAACATAAATGTTCACTTTAAAGCAATTGCCATAATAGATAAAAACCTGAACTTTCATTGGATTTTTGTTAATTTTCCTCATTTTGAATTATGTGCACTACCATAGCTACATCAGTTTGATACAGTATTGAAAAATTATCAGTTATATTTTGCTGTTTATGATCTATTTGTAGATTAGGATTAAAATGGATTTAATCCATTTTTAAGGCTGTGTGAATTTTTCTAAACAAGAACCATTTGCAATATGGATTTCATAGAGATTAAACCAATTATAACTTATCATTAGCAGTCGTGAGCACATGTTCATATAGTCAATGTAAAAATACACTAATGAGTATTTGGTAAATCCCAGTAGGCTTTTACTAGCATAATTTTGTGTTGTACAATTAAGTTACATTTACATCTCTAATTTTGGATAATATTCATTGGTTAACAATAAAGTGACAAAAGCTCATGCCTTCAAGGTCCACTGTTGTTATTTAACATGGATTTCTTGTATATTTCTTGAAAATTACAATCTTTATCAGAGCCATGAATCACCACATCTTAAAAGTAAGAAGTAGATAGGAAATAATTTTAAATCCTCATAGATCTACTCTTTCCCCAAAATGATACCTCTTTGGTATGGAAGTAATAGTGATTAATTCTGTGGAAAAGTTAAATTATTAAATTAAACTGACTTTCTTGACAACAAAATGTAATTTAGGGTTTCCAATCACTGCCTTTATTGTATAGTGGTTAGTTTCTTTTGCCTGAGGAAGATACAGTTTTTTGTCATTGATTCATCTCACTATTAGCATTTCAACATTCTTTAAAGAACCATATGCTAAGTATATTTATTTAAAGTACAAGTTCTTATTTTGAAGCTATATTATAGAGCAGTTACTATAAATCTAGAAGTTGATTGCCTTTTTCAAGTCTTCTTACTAATTTTTTACTTAAATGAGTGATAAATCTATAAAAATAGTAAAAGCTAGATTTTTTTGTTGATAGTAATATTTAACTGTCACTTTTATTTCTGTTCTCAAGGACACATAGTGACTTTTTTACTCTGATCCTGTCAGAAAATGGAATTTTAAATAATATTTTGATTTATGTCTAGAGTTTTTAAGAGCTAGAATGGCCCCTTATAAAGTTATGTTAGATTTTATTGGCAGTCACTCTTATCATTAGAATTATTTCAATATTACTGTGGTTTTTTTTTTAAAATCCCACTATATTCTGTTCCAGTATTGATCACCTTGTTGATTGTTAATGTTTTTAGAAATGAAAAAATTTTTTTAATTCACAGGCATCCCATTTTACATATGCACAATAAAAACAATTAGTCTTAAAAGTTAAAGCTTGAAACTAAAGTCTAAGGGATTACTAACTTTAGCATTAATATACTGAACTAATGACTAAACCAAAGCTTAGATACCGTTAGTAAGAATAAGAGAAAACAGTTCAGTGTGGAGCTGTACTGTTAGGTTCCTCTCTGGAGTCTGTTCTAAATGAACAGAACTTTAGCATTTTCTTATTTTTAACCTATCAAATATTCTAATGTGGTCTGTCACATGGAATGACAGTATTGTAGCTCATACAAAAGCTCTTTGGATTCTACAAATGTTTTTGATAACTTTATGAAATGTTCAGGCAGCCTGACTCCCCACAGTCTACACTAGTAACTAGGAAAACCTGGCTCCCTATCATGTTCCATATGTTAAAGCTTACCACATTCTTATCCTTAGCTTTTCCAATTAAATAATTTTAACTCCCAATTTTTCCTTAGTAGTCCTACCTCTTACTGTGTCCATCTATCAAGATTTAAGAACTACCATTTTCCCTGTGGAAAGATCATGGCTATGTGGTTCAGCTACTTTCCATTTGTGGGTAATAGACACTCAGATTTACATTTATCTGTTAAAATTGCCATTTGTCTCCTCAATACTTTGACTTCCCTTAACCTCTGTAGTACAAGAGTTTTCTGATTTGGGGTTATATATACTACTTTAGGAGTTGAAGTATTTCTTACACAATTTTTACATTAAAGATCTTGACTAAGGTGATACCCCATGACACATCCTTTGCATTCAGGTTTATGTTTTGGCTGTGGAGATCCCTAGCTACTCAGTGGCTCCAGGTTCTTATTTAATGGTCGTCATTTAGCCAATACATTTTTATTAAATGCTGGCTATATTCAAGGACTTAGAAGCAAGATTAGGATGATTGTGACCCTTTGTTTTGGCCTATATAGGGGACTTCAAATATTAATTTATTTTAGCTCTTAGATCATTTCCATTTATCTATTACAATATCATTTCTTTTAAAATGGCAATGCCACATTGTTGATTCCTGTTATTTGTATGCCCAGATTCCTCCATGTTTATAGCTAGCTAGTTGCTTCTATCAGTGCAAATTATTATTTTTACCACCCTATTCTAATTGTTCTTCACTTTTATTTAATCATTATTTTAAATATTTGGATTCATTTTTATATTTATGCATGCTATTTAGTTTGCTCCTAAAAGTAGTGATACTGGTTTTAGTTTTTTATTACTAAATCAGTATAGCCAAATGTCCATCTTCCTACTGGTAATATGCGATCAGAATTTCTGAGATTATTTATATGACTATTTTTGGAAAAGTTTCTTTTGCTAAAACATGGATTTATTATATGAAATTCTTGCACTGTGTTACAATGTGTGCTATGATATCCCTTTTATTTTTTTTCAATGTAAATATGATGTTTTGTATTATTTTAGACCTAGGAATCGTGTGCTTTTTAGAATCATAAGGGAATGTGTATCTCCTCCCTCCCTCTCCTTTTATATATATTTAAAAGTCTATGGAATTCAAGTCTAGCATTTGAATTCTATATGCTCTCATTGCATTTACATAATTATTTACTTTTAAATTTTAGCTGTTTTCATAAAAACAGTTTTGAGATGAAGGAAACTTACACAATAAAAGGAAGATTAATAAGCAGGAAAATTAGTAACTGACAGGGAATATGAATGAATACTCAGTATACATTTCTCAGGTATGCTTGTTTTCTGAT